TCATCAATTTTGGCAAAAAAATCCATTTCAAATAATATCAGCTCATTAATTGATATGCATATATTTTTGTGAAAAATTGAGAAATTGAAAGTTGAAAAAACAAATTACAATCACGGTCGTAATTATCACATATTAGTATTTTTGTATTATTTTGTATAATTATAAATTATAATAATAAATTAACTTAAGAAAAAAAATCTTATACAGCGCGCGTTCACTTAAATTTAAAATTAATGAGCGAGATTTCTCTGGCCTTCGATTGATGATGTTCGGTAAGATGATGTTAATGGAAACGAAATGGAACGAAGCCAATTACTTGACTGCGGTTTTCGAGCAATAATGTAAATTCTTGTGGTGACTTGGTTTCTTGCGATAGGCATTTTAATCGTCAATGAATTATTAAGAAATAGGGAATCAAAGGTTCGAAGTAACTGTTCCGCATGATTAGTCGTCCACGAGAGGGTACCTATACGTAGTGATATCGTAAACAACGGAGAGCAACGGCGAGAACTCAGTGAGAGTTCGGCGATTCGAAAGCGTGATGTTCGCGAATCGATCGGAAGTGATGCGATCGAGGTGACATTGAGAAGTCATAATCGTCGATGGAAACAGATAGGACGTCTCGTTCGTCAGTCAGTAGGAGTTGGCAACGCGGAAGTTATCGCGGCCGGAGCGGAAGACGGCGAAAACGCAAGCGGAAGCCATGGGGTGAGCGGATCGCCGACTGGATCAGGACGCTGATAGCATTCCTCTTCAGTAACGTCGGCATCGTGTGTCTAGTAGTGGGCTACACTATAGCGGGTGCCTTCCTATTCATCTACATTGAAGGTACCAGCTTGAACGTCGATCTCATCGAGCTAAGAAATTCAACGGCTGTCTCTCTTTGGGAGCTTACTTCTAAGGTGAAGAATTTAAATGAATCGAGCTACGCGCTATAATTTCTTGCAGTAGTGAAATCGAATGATATCGCCAAGAACAGATACGTAGAGATATACGGATTGTATCTTTTACAAGCTTTATTAACTATCTATTTTTACACATGTTTAGATTTGATCACTCTTTGACTAAAATATCGAGAGAAAACAACGAATGACATTATTAATATTTGATATTTATTTGTTTTGACATTGTTCATATTGCTTATAGGAAAATGTGTTTTCGGAAAAACTCTGGAAGGAGAAGGTAAGAAACATTCTCGAGAATTACCAAACGACGATAGTGTCAACTATAAAAGAACACAATTGTATGAAGAAAACTAAGTGGACTTTTGCCGGTGCTTTTCTGTATTCCCTTACCGTGATAACGACCATCGGTGAGTCTCGCTCTTATTACAATCAAATTGTTTGCAATTTACTTGTTGCTTGCAACTATACATTGTTAAAAATAAAATATTAATATTAATTTAAAGACGTGTAGTGGAATTTCTGAGACATGCAAAAATGTTAAAATTAATATTTTTTTGGTACAAAAATGTTAATTTTAATTAATGTCTCAGAAAGTTCACTATACGTCTTTAAGTTAAAATTAACATTTTATTTTTAATAATGTATCCGCTTTAATTTTAATTTACTTACATTTCTTAATTTATTTTAATTTAAAAATTAAAGAGTTAATTAAATGTATAGAATTATTCGTGCGCGTTTGTCTTTAAGAATTAAACGTAGCATGGAAAATGTAAGGGTAAATGTCAGAGAAATTTTTGAAAAATGTAGACAGTTTACTCGCTGCTGCCATACTAAGTATTACACGCTTATTTGCCCTGCTAATACCTAGCTAATGCCCATTTCTCTCGTCGTGACTGATTAATCTCATTAAAAGCTTTTATGCTAACTATGAAAATGTTTTAAGATAAAGTCTTCAGATTTTGTTTTTAATAATAAAATTGTGCGAGAGATTGACAACTTTGTAATATTTTATAAAATTAGTAAACTATGACCAAATATTAATACACAATTTATTTGAAATCATTATGCTAATATGTAGAATAAATTTGACATCTACTTTATTATAAAAACAAAATAAGTAATTTTTTTAATCGTATACATAATCTATCTAATGCATACATAATCTATCTAACGCATATAATGGATGTTGAGAACATCAATTTTACAACATGGTAAGAAAAATTTGACTAGAAGTTCTAGCGAGTAACATATTCTCCAAATAAGCAGCTACGTATACGTTCAAAAATAAAAGAAATGAATTTAAAAACAGACGGATTTTGAATTGAAAAATATATACATAAATCTTGGTCTGTTTGAAATATCAGGAAAAGGATATTAAAATCGAGAGAGAAAGAGCGCAATAATAAAAATATTCGTAAAATTCTTGTTAGGCAGTACTTATTATAATTTTTTCTGTTTTCAATATTATATATCATATTTTATTATATATCATACTTTATATCCGAATTACTTTTAAAATATTTAAAACGCAAATAATTAAAGTTGAAATTTATTTAAGCTTTTCTTTTGTTTGATAAGAAAGAAAATGCAGACTCATTCTATATCAATTGTAGAATAAATTGATTGCTTTATTTATATTTGTGTGGCATAAAATGTTTGCTATTTGCTCAACATTAATTATTTTCTTATTATTTTTATTGAAAGAAACAATTCAAAGATCTAAGACTAAATGTTAATTTCATAATGCTTTCTTCCTACACACATACACATTTATTTTTATATTTTTTTATATTATTTTTATATTTTATTTATACATTAAACATTTATTTATTTAGAAAATCCTAAGAAAAACCTTTACATAAAATTTTTTATTTAAATAAATATTTATTGAAAGAAACAATTTAATGATAAATTTGTATAAACTAATATATGTATAATTTGAAAAAATTAACTTAGCGAAATTTTATTAATCTTAATTTTTTACGGAAAGCTATTTTTTCGTCGATTAATCAGATCAATCACATATCAAAAACAAAATAAATTGAAAATTTCTTATTGATTTTTTGTTGTTGATGAGTGCGTACGAAAATTACTTTATTCTTAGATCTCTATCGCGATCTAATGTGTCAAAAGAGATCGAGTTATAGTATCAGGCAGAAAAATCAACGTAAAATGTTGGATAGTTACTACCATCCAAGCCACGAATAATATCCTGAGACGTAGGATTTATCATTTTCCGGCGCCATGGCAATGAAAGGATAAAGTGATATTAATGACTTTAACGTGATGGCGGCTTTGTTCTCAACGTTGTGCGTGCTACATCGTATCGGTATACTGTGTGCGAGAATGTGTGTGAGAAGAGTATAAATCATGATTACTCGGCGAAATTACACGAAAGGAATTACGCGATTCATGAGGCTATCGCATAAATTAGAAATACATGAAAATATTCACGGTCATATATGTATATCTTTGATATTCTAAAATATCTGTTTCCTCTAATATAAATCTATTTCAATATTTTTTTCAATATTTTTCAATGAATAGTTAGTGTCAATAATAGAGTATCCATTAGTATTTATTTAATGTAAACATTTCGATTAATATTACCTTGATATATGAAATTAACAAATACTATTGTATTATTATACAACATCTGATAGCTGGAATAATAAATATTAAATTATAATATCATCACTAATCATATAATTTACATAACTTTAATAGGATTCACCACAATTGACCATTATTATACTGATCATTATATAATATATTAATATCTGTGTTTGGAACTATTTTGGAAGGTTGCATATGAATAGTGGAATGTAAATTTCATTCGTGCATGCGCCCACGATAATAATTATTTTCAGTCTTTGACATTAGGTTGTTTTCATCAATTGGCACAATACAAAGTCACTCTAAATTAACATAAAATTAATTATGAAATTCGATAAGGATTCGATGCTCTTCGTGAAATGATAATCATCGATGAATTGCATGGCACATTAGTCAATTAATCCTAAATTCGCGCAATTTAGTTTATGATATTGCATCATTTAATAAATAAATAAATAAATAATTAAATTAATTAGTATCCTTTTCATTTTGACACACATTATATATCTTATATTATCTAATATTATCTATTTTAAGATACTAATTTAAGTAAAATAATGTTAGATATATGTATATATTGGGTTGTCCGGAAAGTTCATGCCGATGTTGAAGGAAAATTGAAATGCAGAAAATTTAAATTTTAGTATACATTTATTAAATTATAAAGGTTAGTCGGCACGAACTTTTCGGACAATCCAATACATATTAATACAAGTTAATAAAAACTTAAAGTATTTAAAATCTATTCGTCTCGAATTATATAGTTTTTCATAATTGTTTGACTTTTAAAGTGACTCTAATCACTAATAAATCACGGCTCTACTTTATTAATTATCTCAAATATCATTATTATTATTAGTCTTCAGCATAGTTAACCGACATTCATTGATAAAATCAATGAAAAATAGAACAGCGCTCGATGAAAGTCTCAAAATTGGATTATATTGCTCAACCGAACTTCCTGTATTTCCTTCGTATCCGATGTCCTTCGTAGAATCGAATCGCTACCGAAAATTACCTGTCGTATGTCTACGACGTGTTCCGCGACGACGAATTTGTGGACTGGCGAGGACTTCGTTAGGCCGGAAATTAATTAACGTGCGCTGATCGTTCGATCCCTCAGGATCGACGAAACTCATTCGTCCATTTATTTGTTCGTTCATCGCAAGAACATCGTTGATGGTCACCATCAACGATCGACATTCCACTTCGCTATTAATTAATTTCTTTAGTGTCCAATAGGCTAGGTCAGTAATTAATCTCCTGAACTAATAGTTACAATATTCGACGACATCATGCAAAATGCATTTTGCAAAAAAGACATTCCATTATTCTTTCACATAAATATACATACTTAATTATTTTCAATCCTTGGTGAAAATTTTTCTCATAATTTTTATACGAATTGGAACATTTTTCAGAAATACTCAGAAATATTCGGAAAGTTTATATCTTCTCTCAGAATTTTTCATACAAGTGAATTCTGAAATATTCTGAAACTTCTCATCCCATAATTTAAAAAAAATATTTTAAAAATGTTTTTAATTTTATAACATTTCATCAGGAATTATACTTATAAAAAAATCTTAGAAATTTTATGATATTTCGTAATTAACATATTTTTTTAAATTATGGGATGAGAAATTTCAGATATTTCAGAATTCACTTGTATGAAAAATTCTGAGAAAAGATGTAGATTTTCTGAGAAATGTTCCAATTCGTATAAAAAATATGAGAAAGTTATATAGAAAATTATATAGAAATTCTGAAAAATTACGTGAAAAATTCTGAGAAAAATTTTCACCAGGAATAAACAAGATATTATAATATAAGATATAATATAAAGATTATAATATAAAGGATTATAATAAATTAAATTCAAATGTAGTTAATAATTTTTCATTTTACTTATACATATATATTCTTTTTTTGGATAATACACATTAATCACAATGACCCGAAAAATATTCGAGTAAAAACTCAAATATACTTAGCTTATCTGCACATTAATTGCATTTATCTTTTAGTGTGCGAATTATAACGTAAAGAAGTTTTTGAAAAATATACTATAACATACTACTATAACATACTCAAGATTTTACTAAGTATTCAAATGTTATAATAAAGAAATTTCCTGTTACAAAAGAATCAATCTATTAAACTTGTCGCTCTCGAAACTCGATTAAAATCATAAATTATATATCTATTATATATACCTATTATATATACCTATTATATACCTATTATATTCGCAAACATAGAAAGAAATGCATATGGAAACACCGTCACTTTATATATTTTATTCGAAAATAACGCTGTTAAAAGCTTTTCAAATATTTGTATAAAACCCAATCAATCTCATCAAATCAGTAATTGATTGACTTGTATATACTTTAGCCTCAAATTTAGGAATCATGAAGCGAAAATCATAGCCTATCCTCCCACTAATTATAGTTTGTTACCAAGATCTATCTTCTGTCAAAGCTGAAGAAGCCTCTTAGTGATTTCACTTATTCTACAATCATATATATGTCGCATGTAAACAGAAATTTAAACGAGAGAACATAAACATGATGATTGCTACAGTAAACATATATTTAAAAATAATTTTTCATTTTTTTCTTAGTTACAGATTTTTTTTTAGTTAAAATTTATTCATAATTTTGTTAAAAATTATTTGTTAATTTTAAACTTTGATGTAAATTATGCGACTCAAGGTCGCATTATACAACGACAAAAGTTTAAACGGATCATATTCACGATGTCGTTCAAAGTTAACAAGAACTTTGTC